GTGCCCATTGTTTACGAAACCCTTGACATTTTGTAGTGTTTATTTTAATTTATGCTTTGGGAAACAACAACAACATCCAAGCCTTAGTTCCAAACGATATTGGGGTCGGCTAACATGAATCGATATATGATATCACCAAAAGGAAAAGGACGAAAATAAAGATAAAAAAGATAAGCTATTATAAAAAGATAATATAAAAGAGATGAATATACGTATAAAAGATCAAATAAAAAGGATAAAGTAATATTTATATATAAGGATAAATATATATATATATATATATATATATATATATATATATAAAGAAGAGAAAAGATGATACAAGATCACTCTTCCACACGAATACCCGCCCTCCATTTTGCTCTCTCCAAAGTCATACTCTCATCTAATCCAAGAAGAAGCATATCACTTCTGACTCCCCTAACCCACGTCTGTTTGGGCCTTCCTCTCCCTCTCTTCCCTACCTCTTCTCCACACATCTCAACTCGTCTGACAGGTGCATCACTCGGTCTTCTATGCACATGACCAAACCACCGTAGGCGTGACTCCCGCATCTTATCTTCAATAGGTGCTACTCCCACCCTTTGTCTAATTGTCTCATTCCTCACGCGGTCCTTTCTAGTATGCCCACACATCCAACGCAGCATGCGCATCTCTGCCACACTCATCTTTTGAATGTGACATTGTTTCACCGCCCAACACTCCGTGCCATACAGTAATGCAGGCCTAATTGCTGTCCTATAAAATTTACCCTTCAGTCTAGTCGGCATACCTCGATCGCATAGAAATCCTGACGCACTCTTCCACTTCATCCACCCTGTTCTGATTCTATGGGATACATCTCCATCTAACTCACCGTCCTTCTGAATTATGGAGCCCAAGTAACGAAACATATCGCTGACCGGTATCTCCTTACCATCTAAAGTAATTCCGCTATTACCACTGCTTCTACCTCCACCAAACTTGCACTCCATGTACTCCGTCTTGCTTCTACTTAGTCTGAAACCCTTGTTCTCCAATGTTTGTTGCCATACTTCCAACTTTGCTTTAACCCCTGATTGCGTCTCGTCAATCAATACAATATCGTCGGCAAACATCATGCACCACGGCATATCATCTTGAATTGACTTTGTAAGTTCATCCATGACTATGGCAAATAAAAAAGGGCTCAGAGCCGATCCTTGGTGCACTCCGATAGTAATAGGGAACTCCGCAGTCCTCCCTACACTATTACGGACACTTGTAGTACAATCCTCATACATATCCATGATGATGCTGATATACTTGCGTGAAATGCCTTTTCTAGTTAAGGCCCGCCAAAGAACTTTTCGAGGTACCCTATCATATGCCTTTTTTAAGTCAATGAACACTAAATGCAAATCCTTGTGAACGTCTCTATACTTCTCCATAAGTTGCCGAAGAAGGTGAATAGCCTTAGTTGTTGAGCGACCAGGCATAAAACCGAATTGATTCTCTGAAATCTTCACCGTTCTTCGAAGTCTTTGCTCAATCACTCGCTCCCAAAGTTTCATGGTATGACTCATAAGCTTAATCCCTCGATAGTTGGCACATTCTTGTACATCACCTTTATTCTTAAATAAGGGAATAAGAGTACTCTTTCTCCAACTCGTTGGCATCTTGTTGTTTCTCCAAATTTTGTTGAAGAAATTTGTTAACCACCTGATGCCTCTCTCTCCCAAACTTCTCCAAGCCTTGATCGGTATGCCATCTGGACCCATAAAATAATAAAATGATGATTATTATTATTAAAAATCTAAAAGTTCTTTCATACTTGAGCCTCCCATGCTTAGAGCCTTACATTGAAATTAGTTGAGCCTCCCATGTTTCACGTAGGCTTTAAGGACTTAAGGCTCACGGTCTTGTATTGATTGAAGGGTTTGAATTGATCGATAAAGCTGATAAACCGAAAAATCGACTCACCAAACGGACGATTCCTTAACACATGAACCTTTTTACTGTTTTAGATCACTAGTTTTATGTAAGTCACTCACATATGGAATAGAATCAAAATATAATGTAATATCATACTACGTATACGGAGCATCTCGGCGCACCTTTGTTTTTGCTAAGTGCACCCCATTTACAACGCCATTGGACAATTATGTCCTGGTGTGTTTCGAAGGTTTTAACATTTAATCTCTGTCAAATTGCTATTACTGTGAGCAAGACTTTTCGTATTCCTTCTTGGTCAAAAAAGTTTATTCCTTCTTTAATACTCTAGAAAATATTTTATTTGTTTATAATTAGATATTTTTTAAAATAATACTAATTTAAAAATAGTAACAAAAATAAGATTTATGGTTACTATAATATATCCCAAATTTGTTTATACTAAGGAAAATTACCCTAAATAGGACTAAAAACGTTTGAAAAATTCCAAAATAGGACTGCCATGTTTTTATTCCCAAAATAGGACTAATTAATGCCATGTTTTGGCAGTACCAAACTTTAAAGATGGCAGTATTTTCCAAACTTGACAGTAATTACTCCTATTTTGGGAATAAAAACATGACAGTCCTATTTTGGAATTTTCAAACGTTTTTAGCCCTAATAATTGTGGATACAATTAGAGGGTGTTTATCTTTTGTTTATATTTTAGAATTTTTATTCATACATGTACACACACATGTATGTATGTATATATAATTATGTCTCATAATTTACAACCCATTTAAAAAATTAAAAATTGGGAAGTGAGTACACATTTATTTAAAAAAAATGTTGTAACTCTTTATTTAAAAATGGTCATCTAGAGTAACTTAAATCAAATTAGTTAGAAAGTAACTATAACATTTCTTATATTGACTATTATAGAATTTAGTCTGTGAAATCCAAATTTAGTCAATTAAGGTAGAAAAATAGTTTTAACACTGCTTATTTATCGTTAGTATAAAACAGTTATACAGTAAATTCCAAAATGTAAAAAGTAGTTATAACTCAAACTTTTTTTTTTCAGTTTCGAAAGATATTAATAAATTTAAATAGTTTCATTGTGATCAATAAATTTTGAATGACGTAAATAACTGCAAATAGAATACATATATTTAAAATTTATTTAACAAAGAGAACTTTAAAAAGCTTTAAAAAAAAGAACTTTAAAAAAGAATGTAATTTTAATAGCTTTAAACCAAAAAAAATGTGCCGCTGCATCGAGTAAAGGAGGTTTCATTTTGGACTTGAACGCATAACTTTAATGAGAATAAGGTTAAAACTGTCAACCTAGGTTACATTAAGCAACTTTGGGGGTGCGCAAAACAAGTTCTCATTCCTATAGAAATACATTTCTTTCATTAGAAATTCCACAAACTAGTCTTACTTTGAAAATCACCCCTTATATAGGAGGCTATGTCCGGCTGTCACCATTTGGTGTGGTTCCCGGTGGATTTTTTGATAAATTTTTTTGAGCATCTTCTTCATTAAGTCTAGTTTACCATACCAAATTTCAGATAAAAATTCAATCGGGAAAGCAATCAAATGAATTTGTGAAGATAACTGCGCAGTTAAACAGTGCAGTATATTTAAGAAAATCATTTCACTGCCTTCCCGGTTGAATTTTTAGCTGAAATTGGGTATGAGTAAAATAGACTTAATGAAGAAGATCAAATATTTTCATCAAAAAATTCCACCGGGAGCCGCCCCAAATGGCGTCGGCCAGAGAGAGCCTTCTTTATAAGGGATGATTTGCACAATTGATATTAGTTCGAGGACTGATTTGATATTATCCCTATATTTTTGTAGTATGATACGAATTCAAACTAGAAGTGTACGCAAAAAAAAAGTTGTTTGTACACGTTTTGTGTACAGACCATCTAATTGCCTGTACAGCTAGACAATTCTTTAAGAAGCTGCATTGGACAGACAATTAGGGAGATATATGTACTCAAAACGTGTACTCAAAACGTGTACTCAAAACGTGTACAAGTAGACCTCTTGTATGAAAAAGTGCGCCACACTGCGGTAGCGCCGTGGCGGGCGGCCCCGCGTTATGGTTAAGATTTAAGAACTTGAAAAGTTGTTTTCAGAGTGTGAATCTTCCCGCAACTCAGACCAATCATTCTTCTTTATTCTATCGCCTCTTTTTCTTTTCCTCTCTGTTATTAACAGAGAGATTCTTCTCTTCTGCAACCTAAGCTTTGGATGGGCTTAAACCATGAACGGCAAGGCTACTGTTTCCAAAGAGCTTAATGCAAAGCACGCCAAGGTCAGCGCTACTCTTCTTCCTTTGACTCTTTTTTAGTTTTTTCTTTTCTTTTCTTTTCGGTTTATATATTATAATTGTCCAATTAATCATGTTGCTTTATCTCAAGGTTCGTTTACTCAGTTTCTCTAAAGTACCTATTATTCATTACTTTTTTACTAACCAATCACCCAATTGATTACATATTGAAAGGATGTGATTTATTAATTGAATTGGTGGGAAAATATTGTGTGCAAAAAATTTCTTATACTGCACGATGAATCCAGTTGATGGAAGATGACTTCTTGTCTTCTTTTACTACGTAGTATATATTTTAAATTATTTCTTATTGCATTTATTTATAATCAGAGGAGTTAACGGATGGAGAGTCAAACAATATCAGAAAATGTTGTTTATACGCGCCATTTTACATGCCGGTTGAATTGTACGTGCATAGACAATTCGACCGGCGTGTAAAATGTCGTGTACAATAAACGTGTAAACAAAGCATGATTGAACAATAGTACCCCTTGTCTTAAAGTTCAAAATTGACCTTTTTGGAGTAGAAGTAAAACCACCTTTCGTACTAAAACCAGCCCAAACTATGATTTCGGTTAGGTAGATTTTATGGTACTCTTAAGTATCATACCTTTGTCCACATAGACCAATTAGAATGATGCAATTGAATTACTTAAATCTAAATTAATAAAGATATAATGATTTGGATCAATCAAATGCATGGTAGGTACGGTACCCCATTTTTTAAATGTGTACCGGAGTTGTCACCGGTTAGGTTATCCTAAATTGTATTTGTATCGAGTTAAAACTTAAAAGCCATACTAAACACACTTTTTAACTTATGAGAGGAGCTGATAGCAATCTCCTAGCTTCAAAATGTACTCAACTTTGCATTTTACTATGCTTTACGTTTGTTTGGAGACAGTAAAATATACAATAATTCATGCCTCTTATGATTCTCACAGATACTTGAGGGGCTACTTAAACTGCCAGAGAACAAGGAATGTGCTGATTGCAAGAGCAAGTACGTGATATGTTAAAGTTTATACAGCTTAAGGAAGAAAAAAAATCTTAATGAAGTTTACTTTTATATGCTATTAATAAATGTACAGAGGTCCCAGATGGGCTAGCGTGAACCTCGGAATCTTCATTTGCTTGCAATGTTCTGGCATATCTCAAAGGTCCATCAATTTTCTTCATTATAAAGACACTTTTCATATTTCTTCTCATGCATGGTTCTTTCATGAACGACTTTTGAGTTCTTGAAATGTGATAAGAATTCATATTTGTATCAGGTCACTCTATTGTGTGTCATACTTTACATGGATCAAACAACAACAAAAGAATGAACTCAATCCTTATACATGGATCAAACTCATAAAATCATGTTTATTACTCCATAGTTTATATTAGGACTTTCAATTTCCTAGTAGAAGTTGATATTGTTTGAAAAGAAAATTGAATTTTAAAAAGTACTCCGTAAAAGTTAAAGTGTTTGATGGAAATGTTCTTTTAGTATAATAAAAAGGTGAAAGGCAGTTTAAGACACTCTCACTTCAAGATTTTAGCTTTAAAGTGCTTAACTTAAGCAAAAACGCCTTTTTTAAAACACTTCTTTTAGCTGTTTTAATATGAAAAACTGAGAAACACTTATTTTATCTTTTGCAAACACTCCTTAACTAGTGTGACAATGACTTGCCCTCAAGAAGAAATCTGGTTGGATCAAACTAATCTTTAAATTTGGTGTGCTAGTTGTTGAGGTTTATCAAAGTTGAATTACTAGTTTGCGCTTCAGCGGTTACTAATTACTCTGGGCTATGGCTTAAAAGTTTATGCATCTTCTCTGTTACTAGGTGAGGTCTGTCACTTTAGATACATGGCTTCCGGAGCAGGTTGCATTTATCAAATGTATGTAAGACCAATTGGTAATAACTTTACACAAATATTCGTATAGCGAATAAACCCATAAATAGCATGATTTAATTCTTAATTTCAGCAATCGGAAATGATAAATCAAATGGCTATTGGGAAGCTGAACTACCACCAAAATATAACAGAGTTGGCATTGAAAAGTTTATCCGTGCAAAGTATGACATCAGACTCATTGGTATTTGGTAGCTCCAATAATCAAGTTTGCTAGATTATGCCTTCTCCTTTTTTACATTTTGTGCATTATACTGAATGAATTTTTTAGGTATGCGGAAAAAAGATGGGTTCCAAGAAAAGTTGTTAGACTGGAGCCTAAGCCAGAAGCTGATAAATATCTAAAACCGTCTTCCTCGGATGTTGAAAAGGAAAAGCTAAACTGGATTACATTTGACACTGATATGGAAAATCCAAGTTCCAGTTTTTCAGGAGTATCAATCCCTGATCCCAACCCAAATATCATTAAAAGTATGAATTTACCATCCTGTGAGCCCAAGAAGCCAAACACTAGAAATGATATTCAACCAGTCTTCTCAGCACCTAATGTTGATTATGCTACTCAACTTTTTGATATGCTCTTCAAGGAGGAAAGTAAAGAAAATTTCAAGAAAGAATCTGCACTTCCGGAGGGATCTAAATGTAAATTTGCGCTAAGATAATTATGCTGACATTCTGAAATCTTGACAAGTTTTATCTTTAAATACTGAATTTCCCACTACCTTCAGGTGTAGGAGAGAAACCACTCATTAAGAAGAATGTTTCCTCAACCATTACAGGAAGTACAAATAAATTTGATCCTGGGATTGAAGAACTTATTAAAGATTTCAGTCCTGTCACAGAGATATCCCTGAATGTTGTGCAGAACAACTTGCCATACCCCTTTGGCAAGGTTTTCTAAAATATAGTTCTTGCTAATCACATTTCATATTCCTTGTTATTAAAATTGCGACACCAAGGGAATCAGGTGTAAATTTTGTGCCACTGAACCCAACTAGTTGGGATTAAGGTTCTGATAGTGATAATGATGAAACACCATTTGTACAAGTCATTTTACACATTTTTTATACACGAGCCCTAGTTTTCTATGTACACAAACAATTCGTCAAAAAAAGGTAGAACTTTCAAAGCAGTTCTCAAGTAAACGAAGAACTTCTCAAGTAGAGATCTTTAGGAAATTAATATATCACTTCTTACTTTCCCTTCCAATTCAAAAAGCATCAAATTGCTAATCTCATTATTTTTATTTCAGGTTGGAAATGTTCACCCTTCACTTTTTAAGGTTCCTTCGGCTTCTTATCCAAATTCCAGGTATTGAAAGTAAAACTTTTAGTTTTACTACATGTGAACAAGTATTGTTGTATTTCATATACTTGATGATAAAGTGCTATACAAGAGGCTATATTTATAGCTATATTTAGAGTACTAGGGTTTCCTATACAAGATATACAAATGGGCTAAGCCCAATACTACTAGGGTTTTCACACTCCCCCTCAAGCTGGAGCATATAAATCACATGTACCAAGCTTGTTACAAATATATCCCACTCTAGGACCTCTGAGAGACTTAGTTAAAATATCTGCAAGTTGTTCAGTTGTGTTCACATATTTTGTGATGATATGTCCACTCGTGATCTTCTCTCGGATAAAATGACAATCAACTTCAATATGTTTCGTCCTCTCATGATATACCGGATTTGATGCAATGTGCATTGCAGCTTGATTATCACACATGAGTTGAACCGGTTTTGTGTTTCCATATTTTAACTCTTGGAGGAGATGCTTCAACCATAAGATTTCACATGTAGCAAGGGCCATTGCACGATATTCTGCTTCAGCACTAGATCTGGCAACCACATCCTGTTTTTTACTCTTCCATGAAATTAAGTTTCCACCAATCAAGATACAATATCCCGATGTGGAACGTCTATCCATCAGACATCCGGCCCAGTCTGCATCACAGTATCCCAAAATATCGTGGTGGCCTCGATCTTCAAACAACAATCCTTGCCCTGGAGTTTTCTTGATGTATCTCAAAACTCTGATAGCTGCATCCCAATGTCCAGTACATGGCTTATCAAGAAACTGACTAAGAACACTTACCGCAAATGAAATATCTGGTCTCGTGATGGTAAGATAATTCAATTTGCCGATGAGTCTTCTATATTTTTCCTTGTTAGGCAAAAGATCTCCCTGTTCTGATAAGAGTTTAACATTCGGATCCATTGGTGTATCCACTGGCCTGCAATCTAGCAACCGTGTTTCCTCAAGAATATCCAAGGCATACTTTCTTTGTGAGAGAGCAATTCCATTTTCAGACTGTGCGACCTCAATGCCCAAGAAGTATCTTAACTTTCCCAAGTCTTTTGTTTGAAATTTGCTAAAGAGATGTTGCTTGAGGAGCACAATGCCTTGATCATCGCTACCTGTAATGACAATGTCATCAACATACACAACAAGATAAATACATTTGTTGTCAGCAGAATGTCTGTAGAATATAGAATGATCAATAGCACTGCGAATCATGCCAAAGCTGCAGATCACGGCACTAAACCTCCCAAACCATGCACGCGGAGATTGCTTCAAGCCATACAATGAACGACGTAATCTGCACACCATACCAGACTCCCCCTGAGCAACAAATCCAGGTGGTTGCTCCATATAAACTTCCTCATGTAGATCTCCGTGAAGGAAAGCGTTTTTGATATCCAATTGAAATAATGGCCAACGGCTCATTGCTGCCATGGATAAAATCTAACGAACTGATGCAATCTTCGCTACAGGAGAAAAAGTGTCAGTGTAATCCAAACCATATATCTGAGTATACCCTTTCGCCACAAGGCGTGCTTTAAAACGATCAATCTCCCCATCAGGCCCAACTTTAACTGTGTAAATCCACCGACATCCCACCACTGATTTGCCAGCGGGAAGGGGGACTAAGTCCCACGTCCCACTAGAATGAAGAGCCTCCATCTCAGCCAACATAGCTTTACGCCACTCCGGGTGTGCCAGTGCCTCATGTGTGGTTTTAGGAATGGATATATGAGATAGGTGGGAAATAAAAGCATAGTACGGGGTAGAGAGGCGGTGATAACTCAAACAGTTATATATGGGATGTGGATTTAGTGTAGAACGTGTACCTTTTCGGAGGGCAATGGGCAAATCATCCAGAGTGTTTTCAGGTGGTGCGGTAGTTGATGGTGATGATGCATGAACCGTCATAGGGGAATCAACTGGCGTGGCCACGATAGGCTCAATGGCAGGAGGTCGAGGACGGCGATGGTATACCTGTAATGGAGGAGGGTCTACCACAGGAGGGCAGTGGGGGTGCTCATCAGATGGAGGGGAAAGAACAGTTTCTATATGGATGGGCCGAAGATATGAAATGAAGTCCAAACATGATGGAGTATCAGCAGAAGATAATGGGTAATAAAAGGAGGACTCCATAAAAGTGACGTCAGCCGAAATAAAATGCTTCTTAAGGAATGGGGAATAACAACGATAACCCTTTTGGACTCGTGAATATCCAAGAAAAATGCATTTTATTGACCTAGCTGACATTTTAGATAATCCAGGTGTAAAATCATGGACAAAACACACACACCCAAACACATGAGGTGGTAATGGAAATAACTCACGACTAGGAAACAAGACAGAATAAGGAATTTCATTATCAATAACGGAGGAAGGCATTCTGTTTATTAAATAACACGCAGTGAGTATAGCGTCTGCCCAATACTGAGGTGGTGTATGTGAATGTAATAACAGAGTACGGGCAGTATCAACTAAGTGTCTATTCTTGCGTTCAGCTACCCCATTTTGTTGAGGCGTGTGTACACAAGAAGACTGGTGAATCATACCCCGTGATGTCATGAATTCATTAAAGGGTGCCGCAAAAAATTCTTTAGCATTATCACTGCGTAAAACTTTGATAGAATGACCAAACTGAGTGTGGATTTCGGCACAAAAAGTCTGAAAAATATGGAATAATTCAAAACGTTCTTTCATTAAAAACAACCATGTGTAACGGGAAAAGTCGTCCACAAAAATAACAAAATAGCGAAATCCTAAAGTAGAAGTGACTCGATACGGACCCCATACATCTGTATGAACTAAATCAAAAGGGGACGCAGCCCGTTTATTAACACGCCTTGGAAAGGATTTACGAGGTTGCTTTCCAAGGTGACATGACTCACAATCTAAAGACGAAAGACTTGAGAAACCTAGAACCATACGTCGAAACTTTGAGAGGCTAGGATGACCCAAACGGTTATGTAACGTTAATGCAGGTTCAACAGACACACAAGCGATGGGATCAACAGGATGAAGATGATACAAGCCGTGAGATTCATGCCCGACGCCAATCGTCTTCCCCGAACGACGGTCCTGCACAGTTACAGAATCAGCAAAAAAGGTTATAGAACAATCAAGAGCACGCGTAATTTTACTAACAGAGACAAGGTTAAAGGGGCTATTAGGAACATATAAGACTGAATGTAATGGTAAGGATGAAAGTGGTAGTGCTTGCCCAATACCCGTGGCCGAAGTTTGATGGCCATTAGCCAAAGTAATTAAAGGAAGGTGTTGGTGTTTGGTAATATGGGATAAAAGATGGGGATTACCAGAAATATGGTCTGAAGCACCTGAGTCAATGATCCATGAGCCTGTGGTGTTTGAAATACAAGCGGTAGACGTACCAGGTGCAGATAAAGGCACATTAGCAGACTTGAATTTCTGATAGGCGGCATATTCGTCTGGAGGTAGAACAACTGGAGATGGCGGAATCTGAGCAACAGTGGCTGAGCTAGGAGGTCTCCCGTGTAACTTCCAACACCTATCTTTAGTATGACCAATCTTATGACAGTAGTCACACTTAGGTCGGCTTCGACGCAGATATCCTTTGTTGTTTCCTCCGTCGGGCCCCACACCTTGTGATGCAAGAATGGTAGAATCAGTAGAACCCAATTCAGCAGATATCGGGGCCGCACGAAGAATTCGAGAAAAAGCGTCTGTCATAGTTGGAACAGTAGAACTAGAGAGAATTTGTTCACGTATAGATAACAGCTCTGGGCGAAGACCTGCCAAAGCTAAAACCATAACAAGTTGTTGTCGTTGTTCTAGTTGTTTCTCTCTATCTTCCGTGATAGGTTGAATGGTATTATACTCAAAGAGTAAAGCCTCAGCCCGGCCTAGAAAATCCTGGATGTCCAATTCTTGTTGCTTGAGATTGGCAATTTTGGATCCAAAAGAAAACAGACTTTGAATATCATTAGTGTAATTAGACTTGGCTTTCTCCCAAATCTGTTTACACGTCCGATATGATTGATATGTAAGATGAAGTTTGGAGTCCATGGATTGCCACAAAACATTGCACAACAGTGCATCCATATTCTCCCATTCCGTTTTCTTCTCCTTGACTGAATTGGCATCTGTAAGCAAGTGATCAATTTGTCCTTGACCTTTGAACCACATCTCCACAGAAATAGCCCATGATTGGTAATTAGCACTTCCAACCAAACGATCCGTTGTAATAATCGGAACAGAAGCAAATGAAGAAAAACCAGAAGACATTTTTTTTTTATTTTTTACTTTTTTTTTTATTTTTTTTTTTTTACCTTTTTTTTTTTTTTTTAGTTTACAAATAAAATATCACGCAGAGAAGTAAGGTGCCTAATCTGATCACAAACGTATGGACAGCAGCAGAACCGTGAAATCAAAACGACAGAGTCATGGAAGAAACGGAAGAAACACTACCGTGACTAAGCAGCTCAACCAGCAGCGGAGCTGGTCCGACGGCTCGTTTCTGGCGGCGAGTATGATCGGCGGCGGCGCGTGTGGAAGTGGCGGCAGCGCGTGTGGAAGCGGCGGCGAACCGGACTGCTCCGTCTAGGTCGTCAGGGACCTAGGTTTCTGAAAAACCTGTCGGTGTCGCTCGCAGATGACTAAGACGGAGCAGATCTGCAAAGATGTGTACCTGCAGGTGCAGACTTTCAGCGACCGACGGCGGAGCGTGGGTGAGGCAGCGGCGGCGAAACTTCCGGCGGTAAGTCGCTATGTAGAGTTGAGCACGATGGTAGGCTTGTATCACTACCAAAAGCACTCAAGTGAGTTGCGACCACTATTCACGCCGGAAATTATGGCCTGAACTTCTGTCCAGATTCGGAGCGGCAGTTTATAACGCTAACTAGCTAACTATATTTGCCGTATAGGCTCTGATACCATGTGAACAAGTATTGTTGTATTTCATATACTTGATGATAAAGTGCTATACAAGAGGCTATATTTATAGCTATATTTAGAGTACTAGGGTTTCCTATACAAGATATACAAATGGGCTAAGCCCAATACTACTAGGGTTTTCACACTACAGATGTTGGGCATAAACTGGTATGTGTTACTCATCATCATCATTACCCCAGTGCTGCAAAGGCTCCCACCTAAGGTAGGGTAAGGGGGGGTCGGATACTCGGATGCACGCAGTCTTACACCTGTACTAAAGCATCCGGATGACCCATAGTGAAAATCGCGTCCAAATTTGCATGGACTAACTACAAGTTCATAACAAAGAAGTGCAGACAATTTAGTGAGCCATTTTGCTTTATTCCATCATATTTTCAAGCCACAAAATAGCGAGTCTTTGCCTCTTTGGCTCCATTGCAAATGATGGAATAAAACTGGTATGTGTTACTATTTACTATTAAGTAAAAACTATTTCGTGGAAAAAGTCAAAATCTACATATTTTGCTTCTAAGTGGGATAAGAAGAACAATGTTTTAATGCTACAGACGGGATATTTGTATCTAAATTACTTGTCAAACACTTTGTCAAATGTGTCTTCAAAAGCTATTACGGAGTACTTGTCAAGAATTATTTTGTCTGAATGACTGTAAGGTAAACCAGGTTCCTGGCCTGTACCAATTTGAGTTCTTTAATTCACTCTTGTACTATTAATAGCTTCAGTTAGAATCAACCGAATTAAAACTTGCAAATAGCGCATTTGACAGATTTCATATATATTATTTTGCTATTCACAAGGTAAAAGATAAAAAATGTAAAAAGATATTGTGAACAAATGTTTTTATTGAAATTGGTTTGGCCCATACCCATGTTGTACCCACTTTGCCTGCACGGCAACACGCATGGTGATAAATGATACTCCCTCCGTCCCCTTTTAAAAGTCCCGGAAGAGGGTGACACGAGTTTTAAGAAAAGTGAGTTTGTGTGGTTGATATTAATTGATAAAGTAGGAATAAAGTAAGAATAAAGTAAGAATGATTTTGAGCCACACAAACTTTACCAAATGAGGTATGGGACATTTAAATAGGGACATCCCAATATGGTAAAATGGGACATTTAATTGGGGACGGAGGGAGTAATAAAAAATGATCTTTGTACATACTCTTATATCCACTTTTGTACACACCTATGTTTGTGAAGTGTTTTTCTTTTCTGTGAACCCCGGCTCACAGACAATATTTTGCACGGACAAAATATTGTCTGTGATCCCGGGTTCACAGACAAAAAAAACCTCCACAAACATGATGGGTATAAGGTGGGTATAAAAGTGGGTACATCAAGCATAGTTGAATGATAATAGGGGCTACGTTAAAGATTAAAGATGCTACTCCGGTCCTACTTAAATGCTACCGTCTACTATTCTCCCAACAACAGCAACATTCAAACTTTAATCCCAAAAGATTTTGGGGTCGGCTAACATGAATTGATCCATGATATCGATGCTAAAAGGAGAAGACAGACAAGAAATAAAAAGATAAAACTGTTCTCCCATCAACATAAATTGTTCTTAATCTTTTACTTTATATATCCAACTTCTATCGAATTTGATTTTTCTTTTCATCTCTTTATAAAACTTTTTATGTACTTATTGAATATGTAAATTTAGTTACCAAAAATAATATTATTCATGACAAATATTACTTAATGTTATTGTCAGTCAAACATCGTAAACCATGTGAAAACCTTTAAGTGGGACGGAGGGAGTAGGAGATAATGACGAGACACCTTGTAGTTAGAAAGGCTATGTGACACTTTTTAATCCGTTGATGATTTTAAATAGGGAAATCGCACTTTTAATCCCTGAAATAGTCACGAAATTGAAATGTCAGATTTGTGTTTCCAAGTTTGTAAATGTCGTCCCTCAATTGTCCAAAATGCTGTAAATGTGGTCCTTTGAAGGGTGAAATATACAATGTGGGCAAGAATAATTTTCACCACTTAAAGGACCATATTTACAACAATTTGGACAATTGAGGGGTGACATTTACAATCTCCAAAATATGGGTCTGGCATTTCATTTTGATGACTATTTCAGGGACTTAAAGTGCGATTTTCCCTTATAAATACAATGTGTGTTTTTTTGTGGTTGGGATGATGAATTGAATTTAATACTCCGTACGTATTACGTAGTATGTTACATGAAAAACGAACCAGTATATTAAAATGAACTATTTGACCATAACTATAATAATGGGTAACTTTTTTGTTTCTTATTTTGTTTTCGTATATCATATTGCAGCATGTATATATCACATCAGACGCGTCGCTAAACGACAATATCTCTCTTGCACATGGATCACTTTCAAGAATGGAAGTACTTTACAAGAACTAATACAGTACTTTGTACAATTCATTTTGGACTAGGCACGAAAACTACGATTGTTTTAATTGTATAATTTTTGTGAAATCAGTTCTTTAGAATTGCAATACTAGTTTAAGTATTGGTGAAAGATGACAATTCAAGTCTATGGTGAAAGATGACAATCCAAGTCTATGGGATGTTTGGATATGATTCTTAAAAGTGCTTCTGCTTCTTCAGGGAATAGAAACAAAAGTTGGAGTGTGGGTGAAAATGCAGAAGTGATTCGGGTGCTCTAATTTACTCCTAGAATCAGTTTTTTAAGAAGTTGGGGGAGGCCAACTTCTGAAAACTGATCATGATTCTACTTCTGCTTCAAAAAACAAGCAGAAGCATAATCAGTTACAAACACTCCCTATGTCTGGATGTCCGGTTATTCGAGTAGAACAAGTAATGGTCGACCATCCTATGATGCTTGAGGTGACCTTGAGGCTTGAATCGTCTGGATGTCCGGTTATTCGAGTAGAACAAGTAAAATCCCTTACAAAATCATTTGTTAGATTCTTTACACTACGGTCCCTAACAAAATTTGTCACAAACCTAGTGTGTTTTTGTAGTGCGTCCATATTGTGGCCTATCGAGCCGTGCGTGTCCCTAAAGAGTAGTGATTTGTTACTATTTGTGTGATGGGGGCTATAGTTCCAGTGGACTGGACCGAGCTAGGAACAAGGGGAGTAGCTAAGGACCTTTGGTAGGCTCCGGCCAACCCCAATTTTAAAAATAAATACTCGGTAAATATTAATATTAAAAGATTGTGTAAAATTTTATATAAAAAAAATTGTGGTGGATCAGCCTGACTTGTACCCTTGGCTACGCCACTGCCACGAATTCACTTAGGCCCAATGAGCTGAGTTTGTAGGCCCATCACACATAACCAACTAAAATTTACGGAGTATAAGTTTGTTAGGTCTAAGTAGAAATGTTTTTTTGGGAAAACTGTCATATAGGTCCTCGTACTATATTCAAAAAGTCAATTAAATTCTCGTACTATTAAATTAATCAACTCAATCCCTTTAACTATAAAAAAACAGTCAATTTCACTATCTAGTCGGTTTCTTGTGGGTAGAACCGGTACTAGCTGACTTGGATATCTACGTGGCATTATTTACTTTCTTTCTCTTTCTTTTTTCTGTTTGTTCCCTTCCTTCTCCCTATTCTACGCCTCTGCAATTTCTTTCTTTCTGACTTCGGTAATACGGAGTATATTATGGACTCTGCCCCCTTCTCGGCTTCTCGGATGGGACCTACTCCTACAAAGGCAAATCAGTCGATGCGAAGTTGGAGGGTAGCTCCAATTGTTCCAACCAACTGCATCTAAAATTTCTGAATACCAACATACAACTCAAGAGATCTGCAATCATACAACTCAAGAGATCTGCAATCTATGTATGAGCTATGGTGGGTTGAAGCCCATGACAGCTTAAAAAAAATTCAACTTTTTTAGAGTAATTTTTTTAAATTTTCATATTTAGCCCACCACCCCGTTAATGTTTAAGCCTAGTATAATTGCTTTTCAACCCAGGGCATCTCGAATTACTGAATCCGCCCTTGATCACCATTAATGGCGGCCAATTTTCACAAATAAACGCAATCACAAAGGAATTTCATGAAGGGGGCGTATGAGCATATCTTACTTTGCAACCCCAATTATTTTCATATTATTCTTCTATTTTTTCTTCTATTTGTTTTTCCTTTTCTTCTTTTTAATTCTTATCCATTCTCTGTTGAGGTGAACATGTATTTTTACAACACCATGTAGATCGGGTTTAAATTTTTGGCAAATGTATAATAATTAGATCTATAAATCTCTTCAATTAATATTTCTGGAAAGCAAGAGAGGTTTCCTAGATCTTTACAAATCAGTCCAGAAAATCAATCTTGAAGTTGAATGTATGTATATGTGCTGCCGAGGAAGATGACGATCTGGGAGATGCTTTTTCGTTGAGGTGTATATTTTTAGGGTCTAAGTGGCAAGGTATATTCCAAATAAGAAACTAAATACATTAAAATGGTCCAGCTAAGAGTAAGTTACTTGTTTACCAGTAATTGTAATTGCTTGTGCTTTTTAAAAGTGATTTTTTTAATAGATTGTTAGAAAAGTGATTTGTAGTAAAAGTTGGTAGTGTTTGAGAATAAAAGTGATTTTAAATAAAATGTAAAAGTTGGAGTGTTTGATAAAAAAGTGATTGTGATAGAATATTTTGTTAAATTACCAAAGCAACCTCCAAAAATTACCTCCTTTCTCTCCGCCCTAATTGCCGATTGTGAAGCTCCTCACCATGCTCATGGAGTTAAAAAGCAGCCAAAAATTGAAATAAAAATCAGACTACTAATTATGTTTGGATAATAAATTCAAACATAAGGGAACCGTCTGCTACGGTTCTGAATTCAAACATATTGTGAAGCTTCTCACCATACTCAGCGGCTACGGTTCCCTTTTGCATCGGCTCTGAAGAAAGTAGCAAGGCTCAGCGGCTACGGTTCCCTTCAGTAAATTCATGTTTGGATGAAGTCTAATTATGTTCTTGGATTATTCAGAATTTCGTTTGGCTCTGAAGCTGTCGAATTCCCTCGCCGGAAGCCGGAAGGACGTTGCTGCAGAGGGGACGAAGCTTTGTGGGAACAATGGGTGTTGTGGGCCAGAGGGGTACTTTTGGGCTAATAATTATTTTTAAGATTAGAATGGCCCTAAAAGTTGGACTTATTTACTAAAAAGCCAAGAAGCAGATAAAAGCACCTCATCCATAGCTTCTAGCTTTTGGCTTCAAACTGTTTAAATTATGCAGAATTTTTCATTTGTAAACACCATCTTTAGCTTCTCCAATTCCAAAAGTTCATAAGTGCTTAAATTAAGCAATAGCAAACATAGCTTGAACCGGCTAAAAGTGCAAATTGATCATTTTTTTAAGTTGGGGGGACTCAATTGATTGATTTTATAGTACGGCAACTCAATTGACTTTTTGGATATAGTACGGAGACTTATTTGACAGTTTCCCTAGTATATCCAGATAGTCAATTAAGCCCTTGATAAGTTCGTAGCTATTAGATGTCATAAATCTCAACTTCAGCTCAAGTTATGTTTAATTTACCGGGCGTTGGTTCGAGTTTTTGTATTTTTGGAGTTAATATCAGATTATTAGAGTCCGGCACCGGCGCTTCAGAAGCAATCGAGAAGAGTTGATGAGCATTCAAGAGTGATTTGAGAGTTTTGGAGATCTCCGGGAGGTTCACGATGATGTTTTGATGAAGAAAGAGCCTTTGGATCGATCACGGCACATTCGGGAACGTTTGGAGCAAGAAATCGAAGAATTTGGCATCATTTGAGGCACGCACGGGCGTGCCCAACATCTAGGCACGATGTGCGTGCATGATGGAGCGCCCCGGCGAAGAAACAGTGGCGTGCCTTGTAGGCACGCCGTGCATGCAGAAGGAACGAAGACCCAGCTATTGGAGGTCAGGCACGGTCGTGCCTACCAGGGAGGCACACCGTGCCTGGCCATTATGCCCGCGATGTGCTCTGAAGGCATGGTCGCCATGCACGTCGTGCCTAGCGCCCTGTCTACACCGAATTTTCCCAGTTCAGCCCGAATTCAACTCTTTTCTATAAATAAGGTCTTCATACCCCTATTTTGAGGTTACATAACTTAGAGAGAGCGCCTAACGCGAAATTTAGAGAGCTTTTCAACCTTGTTCATCAATATTTTTGGATTCTTTGTAAGTTCCTACTTTTTAATTAATGTCAATTAATTCTGTTCATCCCAATTCTGTTGATTCTTCAATTATGAGTTGTGAAAAGTTTTAATTAGGGATTTTGGATTGATGAAGGGGTTAATTATGATGTATGACTAAATTCATGATGGATTAATTGCATGAATGATGTTTAATTTGTGTTTGAAGAATTTAATTGATATCTCTTGTAACCTAGAACTGCATCTACGATTATAATTGCATGTAGAATAAATTAAGAGAGATCTAATTTATTGTAGGACACCTTCACACACACTTAATCATTCGTTAAGAAATTAGTAGCGATTAAGGAGCCGTACTCTCGCTCGTTTTGGCAATAGTTTTAGTTTATTTTATTTCTCGCACAATCGCTTTTATTTTATTTCTTTTTAATCGCTGAATTTAATTAATACTTAATTCCCCTTTTCCGTCCTTGTGGAGACCATACTCATACTTACACCCTTTACTACAATCTATATTCTCTCCGTCCCCTAACCTTGTCCCATTTTACCTTTTTCGTCAGTCCCATTAAGTTTGTCCCATACAATATTTGGCAATATTTGGGTGGTTACAATTTATTTTTACTTTATTAACACTTTATCAATTCAACACCAACCACACAATCCCACTTTTTCTTAAAATTTTGTGCCACACTTCTTTGTCCCAAACATAGTGGGACGGAGTAGTAAAATTTATCTAAGACAAAAAACATGGTAAATTAATATATGCAGAGTTCTATGTACCGAGGCTAGGGGTGAGCATGGGACGGTACGCGACGGTTATTTTGAAAAACATGTCCAGTCCCAAAGTACGGTTCCGGTACACTTCTCACTAAGAACCGTTACCGTACCATATTATTAAAAAAAACTCAGTATGGTACGATATTACATTTTTCCGGTTCTATCGATTCTGGAACGGTTCGGGACGGTTCTTTGGTACGGAACGGGAATTCCCAGATCCGCGTTCAGCCTTAACTGAGGCCCTACCGAGCCAAGTTGAGTTGCTATAAAGAATTTTCATAAAGTATTTTCCAGATTTCAAACATGACATTATTTTTTCAAACTTGACAGTAATTACTCTTAATTTAGGGGGGAAAAACATGACAGTCCTATTTTGGAATTTTCAAACTGTTTTAATCCTATTTCGAGAATTTTCGTTTTTTAGTTAACTATCTCAAATTAAGTTTTTTATTATTATAAGTTTTATTTAGTTTTTTAATTAAATATTACAAATAAGTTTTTTAAATTTTAATATTTTAAGTTTGATTTAGTTTTTTAATTAAATATTTCAAATTAAGTTTTTTGTAATATTTTTTAATTATTTGGAAAAGAAATGCTCATAGTAATATATTTCTAAGGGAAAAGGGGCAAATAAGCCCTCCAACTAATAAAAAAAGTGCAAATAAGCCCTTTTGTATGAGGTTGCGTCTGGCCATCGTCATTTGGGGAGGTTCCCAGTGGATTTTTTTGATGAATTTTTT